GACTGTGCAGTACTGGTTACAAATTGACCTCATTCGCCTACCCCTATACATAGGTTAAAGCCCAAAGCGACCTGACGCTTACAGCCACATCAGTTCCTGGTAAGATAGTCATTGGTAAGCCCTTTGAAGTGGGGTGTGAGCTGTCTAATCTGAGTGACAGGCGGATGAGTCTGCGCATGGTGGCTGTGAAGTCCAAAATGTCAGACATTGTCATGAACGGCATCTCCGGACAGGTAAGCATCGTGGCATGCGAGCGTCCATAGTTTGTGTGTTTGTATGTCTGTTGGCAGCTGGTACATACGCTCTCCTTGCTTGTTGTGTTGGTGTGCGTGTGGTGTGGTGCTAGGTTACGCCCTGTGTTGAGTGAGTGCTTCCAATTGTTACTATGACAACGATGTCTGCCTGTGCTTGCCTCCCCATGAGATGTGTTTAGAGGTGTGTAGGTACATCGGTGCTAAGTGACCAACAACATGGTCCCTTGCCTTTAACGCACACCTTTACTATTACCACAGCATCTGGGAGAGGTCAATCCGGAACACCGTCAGACTGTGACACTGTCTCTGTTTGCGCTCACTATGGGTCTACATCCCATCACTGGGCTGCGAGTTACTGACCTTATATCTGGACGTAGCTACGACATAGAAAATCTGAAGGATGTGCTGGTGACGGCCTCGTAGGATAGTGAAGACTAATAATAAATGTTTGGCTACAAGCACTTCTTTAGAGTTCATGGGTGTCGTGTAGCTATAGCTATCCCTAGTCAGTGTGACTACTCTACTCTACTATTCACACACCCGTACAACGGTAGTGGAAGCATGCAAGGCATCTGGACGTAGCTACGACATAGAATATCGAAAGGATGTGCTAGGGACACCCTCATAGCATAGTGAATGCTAATAACAAATGTTTGTTTACAAGCAAAAGCATGTAAAGCATATCTGGACGTAGCTACGACATAGCAAATCTAAACGATGGACGAGTGACACGCTCATAGAATAGTGAAAGCTAATCATAAATGTTACTTTCAAGAAAAAAGGTATAACTGCAGATAGCTATGAAATAGAAAATCTAAAGGATGTGCTATTGGCACCCTCATAGAATAGTTAAGGATAGTAATAAATGTTTGTTTACAAGCAAAAGCATGCAAGGCATGTCTGGACATAGATACGAAACAGAAAATTTAAAAAATGTGCTAGCGACGTTCTCTTAGAATAGTTTAGACTCTATTGAATATTCGATTGCAAGGAAAAACTTTGTTGTTTCTCTTAACGACTAACATATTAAAAAACAGTGCGTATACGTGTATATCATCAGCAAAAGGTTGGGTTCGGCTGTCATTTCAGTGCAGTTGTGTACATTGACTCATGACTGCAGCTGGTAACGCGCGCATGTCTAGAATAGTATACTTCTGAGTGGTGCAATGTATAGCTATTTGATTCTGTTGTGTCGATACCTATTATACAATCCCTAGCCCTCAATGTATTCGCACCGTCTGGAAACTGTGGCTATCGGTTGGATCTACTGATGAATGTCAGTTTCAGTTAGTAAAACTTAGCATCACTCTTCAGAATACGGACTACACACATCAATGGGTATCGCTCTCTCGTCTCCATATGTGACAAGACCATTTAATGCTTAGCTCAGACATGCAGAACTGACTCCTTTTTACAACACAGCAAATCAATCTTGCATATTCACGAACAGTACGATAAGCAACTCATCGGCAGCGACGACAGAAAAACCTTTTAAATTAATAAATAACGCCCATTCCATAACACTGGCAATACTCCCTACATAGCTAGTGAATGCTCTGGGGACCAACAACTGGGGTGATATACGAAGTCTATATATTTATATAACAATATTTATAATACCTCGGTATCAGAAGTCGATCAGTATCCACCCATATAAGGCCATGTGCACGATTTGGCGGGAAATGCCCAGGGCATGTGACACGTAATTTCAAATTTGTAGGGCCGTGTAGTGCACAATACTTGCTCTATCACACACACACACATACATACATACATACATACATACATACACACACACACACACACACGCACGCACACACACACACACACGCACATACACACACACACACGCACATACACACACACACACGCACATACACGGGTACTCCCTTGCTTCTGGTACCATGGGGGAACAGAAAGCGGTTTTGCACGCAGACTGCGTGTCGGCCAATGCGTGCGTGACATTAGACGAGCTTTTGTGGGTCCTC